CATGTAACACTACTGCCATTGTTGTCGGGGTACTGAGGAGCTTCCAAGAAGGATGATGTCAGGTTGCATCCTGCCCCTTCTTTGGGGCTTGGGTGCCATGGATAAGCCCCCTGGATTTCATCATGCAGGTGGTGGTCTTATGTGGAATGATATCACATGTTCCCCATCAGACCTGCCTACCCTATGTCGAGGAACTTTCAAGAGTCCCTAAGTTCTAGGAATTTTCTAGCAGTAGAGTTACATGGAGATATATCTAGTACCTACCGACTTTGACTGGTGGCCAGAAGTATAGAGTTTGATTAATCCTAGTGATGACATCACAAGGCGTGATCACTTCGAACACCATGAGTGTGCTGACCAGTAAAATCATTGGTATGTTAAGTTGGGTATTGAGATGGTGGTCCTGGGAGTTGACCTGTAATGGTGATACAAGTATACATTGTCCAGTAGACCTGAAGACACAGCGCAATGTCCAACCCAAACCTATGCTGTATTTTGTCTTGCAGTGAACTATGTCAGTTTAATTCTGGCTTTCATTATCCGGGCCCACACAAGTCATTCTGCGAGGATGGTGACCAGGAACGGCCTCAGTGCTACAAGGCGGCATCTACCTATGACCTCTCCTGTGAGCTTCCTCTCAGGCCTCTGGATTTGCCATCTTCGATGCAGGACGGGCCACCACAACGGGGACTTTCCAGAGATAGATCTTACTCTGTGAATCACCTGAACTTGGAACATCTGACTGTGCGGGGCAGGCAGGAGGCGCCCCTGGTAAAGCTTGAACATAGCAAGCCATCAGCCCGACCAAAGAAGCAAGGTCCTCCTCGTCCTCCACCTCCGAACTGGGAGAAGTACAAAGAGCGGAGGTCATCTCACGACACGGCCAAGTCTGTTTGTGGACACGCTTGTGGTCAGGACGTTCCTAATGTATCTGGATATAATAGAAATCCGGATGATGCAAGGCAGCGATCTCAAAGTCTGCCATTGGACAAGACTTTTTCCCTTCCCCCAATGCAAGGAGCGGATTATTGCACAGAACCAACGGAGATGAGGAGTTCTCCAACTGGACCTCAGGATCGATCTTTAACTGGTTCTCCAAACCAGGAGACCTCAAAGTAAGTTTACTTATCATCGACCTATTTTCATTAAAGGGTATCTAGACCCAAGAGCCAAAATGTAACATATTGCAGCTTTCTCTTCCTTAGAGATGGTGGCTGCATTAGTTTTCAGTTTTTCCCTTTATTTTCATTTGGTGATCCTGCCAGTAAACACACTTCCTGTCCTAGGGTGACAACGTGCATTCACTGTGTATTACTATATTTAAAGAGGAGCAGTACGGTCATACCTAGAACAGGGAGTGTGTTAGAATTACAGACCACTGTGTTTTGTAGTCCACCGAGCTTAACGTACACCGGGGTAGGCAACCCCAGAACTTTAGCTTTTGAGGAACTACAGGTTCCATTATGCATTGACTTCCAGGGGCAGGACCAGATTTCTAGGGTTGTGGATGCACAGTACACCCATGTGCCTGCAAGAGAGGCGGTGTAAGGATTAAACCAAAACATTGAGTGAGGAAGAAAAAGAACCATGGTCAACATTTAGGGGGTTATTCACAAATGAGCCGGAGGATCCAGCCGTAGCTTCAGCTGCTCCTTCGGCTGCTTCTGCCTTTGGTTCAGTCGAACAGAAGGGCTGCTGTAGGGCCATTCACACTAGCCCATACAGGAGCCAAAAGTGGCTGAGTGGCTCGGCTGAATGGGAGTGATACCCGAAGCATGGAGAACAGTCGGCCAAAGCCGACCGATCTCCACGCAAGTGACAGCTGGGCGGAGCCAGCCATGATCACACAGCTAGCTCCGTCCAGTTGTAATTACAGATCAGTGTCCCCAAATGACACGGGGATGCTGATCTGTCATTAAACAATAACTGGGCGGAGCTGGCCGTCACGGCTGGCTCCGCCGAGTTGCTCATTAGCAGGGACCTGCTAGACTCTGGCAGGTGCTGGCCAATAGCAAATAGTTGGGCGGAGCTAGCTGTCAACACTAGCTCTGCCAATTTTTTTTTTTTTCTTTTAAAATATTTTACTTTTTTTTAAATTTCTCTATTTTTAATGATTTTTAAATTAATTTTTTAACTCTCGGGGGTAGCAAGAAGAATAGCCGCTCGGAGGCATTCGGCTATTCGCTCACTGCCGTTTGGCCCCTATGAGAATAGGGGTGAACGGCAGCGAGTGTGCTGCCGGAGCTTCGGCTCAGCCGATCCAGATGTTGGATCGGCTGAGTCGAACTGCAACTGCACTTCGGCTCAGCTGAACGCCACTGTACAACTGAGATCAGCCGTACAAGACTGAAGTGAATAGCCGAACAGCATTCGGCTCAGTTCACTTTGGCTCGCTCATTCACTCGGCTGCCTTCGGCGGCTTTGTGAATGACCCCCTTAGTGCCATCGGGGAACTGCGTTGACCAATCACAATGGTTGCACTAGATCTGTTTTTCCATCATTGCACAACTTGTAATAAAGTTGACTCTAAATATTACAGCTTTTGGTTCTTTTGCAGTGACCATTTGAAGTCTTCCACCAACCCTTCTCCTCACCCCTCGGACTTTGATCAGAAATTAGCCGCGGGTGGTGCAGAGGAGTCCGAGGCAGCCGATGAAGGAGGCCTCAGGGATCAGCAGTCCTCCACAATGGCAGAAATTCCCGCAGATAACCCGGACAGAGAACCCCCCTCTAACTTGGTGGACCTCTTTGAAGGGAATTTCCATCGCTATGAAGATGATTGGTCCACGGACAGAGAGTCTGAAATCTCCATCCCAGAAAGGTAAGTTTTGTATGTGCATCAAACATGTTATCTGCAGCTGCATGTTCTCTCTCTAATACAACATATAGCTAGAGAATGTGGACACCTGACCATCACACCTACATATGTGACCAAACCTATGTGGACAACTCTCCAAATGGCTGAGTTCAGGTGTCTCCAGTGAAGGTTCTGTCAATATTACATCATACAAAGACATTGGAGACAATTGTGCTCTTCTAGCTTTGTGGTCACAGTTTGGTGAAGGCCCTTTTCTGTTCCACCATGACTGTCTCCCGTGTTCAAAGCCAGCTTCATAAAGACATGGTGTGACCTGTTTGGTGTGGTGGAACCCGAGTGTCCTGACCTCAACCCTACTGAACACCTCTGGGATGAACTGGAACGCAGGTTGCAAGCCAGGTAACAGTTTGGTGAGGTCCTTTTCTGTTCCACCGTAACTGTCCCCTGTGTGCAAAGCCAGCTCCATGAAGACATGGTGTGACCAGTTTGTGAAGGCCACTTAAGAGCCCTGACCTCAACCCTGTGGAACATGGAAACACCTTATATAGAACTAAGTTGTTCCATAAGAATTATTGAGTTCAGGTGTACAAAGCTCCATAAAGACATGGTTTGACCAGTTTGGTGTGGAGAAACTAGAGTGTCCTGCACCGATGCCAGACCTAAACTATTGAACCCTAGGGATGCACCGATACCGGTTTTTCGGTATCGAGTAAGAGTACTGATATTTTTTTTTTCCGGTACTCGCCAATACCGATCCTGGAAGTCCCATTAAGGAAGCCAGGTGGCGTGTATAATGACTCGCCACCCAGCCTTCCCGATTAGCGGGGAAGCCGTCTCCATGCTCCCTCGTGACCTGCTTCCTGGCCAATCAGGACCAGGTGACGAGGGAGCATAAAACCACCTTTATGGCCAATCAGAAAGCCAGGGGGTGTGTAACAACACGCTGCCCAGCTTCCTGATTGGCCGGAAAGCCGGCTTCATGCTCCCTCATCACATAGGACAAGGGAGCATAGAGCCGGCTTCCTGGCCAATCAGGAAGCCGGGCAGTGTGTAAAGGCAGAGGTCCTTTTCTGTTCCACCGTAACTGTCCCCTGTGTGCAAAGCCAGCTCCATGAAGACATGGTGTGACCAGTTTGTGAAGGCCACTTAAGAGCCCTGACCTCAACCCTGTGGAACATGGAAACACCTTATATAGAACTAAGTTGTTCCATAAGAATTATTGAGTTCAGGTGTACAAAGCTCCATAAAGACATGGTTTGACCAGTTTGGTGTGGAGAAACTAGAGTGTCCTGCACCGATGCCAGACCTAAACTATTGAACCCTAGGGATGCACCGATACCGGTTTTTCGGTATCGAGTAAGAGTACTGATATTTTTTTTTTCCGGTACTCGCCAATACCGATCCTGGAAGTCCCATTAAGGAAGCCAGGTGGCGTGTATAATGACTCGCCACCCAGCCTTCCCGATTAGCGGGGAAGCCGTCTCCATGCTCCCTCGTGACCTGCTTCCTGGCCAATCAGGACCAGGTGACGAGGGAGCATAAAACCACCTTTATGGCCAATCAGAAAGCCAGGGGGTGTGTAACAACACGCTGCCCAGCTTCCTGATTGGCCGGAAAGCCGGCTTCATGCTCCCTCATCACATAGGACAAGGGAGAAGAGAGCCGGCTTCCTGGCCAATCAGGAAGCCGGGCAGTGTGTAAAGGCTCACTGCCCGTCTTCCTGATACCGGAAGCCCAAGTATCGGACCAGGCCATATTTTGTGATTGAAATCCCAGTGAGCTGTCATTTACACCCCTATGGCAGTGGTGTTGTAGGAAGCAGGGGCCCACTAGAAGATCCCCGGGGAGGGGGTGGGGGGGGTTGCAAACCTGTGCACATGGCAGGTGATGATCTTTTGGGTGCCGATAATAATGACATTGCATGGCCCACCTTGGCACGCATGCCTTTTGGTTGCCTATCCTTGATATGCTGGGGAACTACAATACAACTCAAAGGACGTGGAGTAACTTTAAATAAAACTCTCTATATATATATATTTTTGGAACAATATAGTAACATAATCATGTTTTAATATATTAGGAATTTTAAAAAAGTGGTCAACAGCGCTACAAATAACCCGTGGTCTCTTTGTCCAAGGAAGGTTTCATTTATTGAGTTGCACGGGGTGAGGGCGCCCCTTAGTGGTGGAAGTATGTATGGCAACACTTGTCATATCTCTGTCGGTGGTTTGTGAACGATCAGTGGGCATTCTGCACGCGATTTTAGGGTTCACTTATTCATTGAATTTAGTCCCTGAGCACCAGCAATATTCGATTACATTCCATTTCTATGAACTAGAGGCTGCAGCACTTTTGTGCTGGCATCAGATGTAAGTTTTTGTATTATAATGTGCAGCATGCTAAGTCCTGTGTCAGTGTAACACCTCCAGGAGCTCATTATCTCTAACAGAGATCACAGCACTCCCCATGACAATACCTGCACCTGCCTTTCTTCCCTGAAGGATGGAGCCATCTTTGTTCAGGCCTCATCCAAGGTCACCATCTACTCCCTGGTGCCCCGTGCAGATCTCGGCTGTGGTTGCCAATGATGTCATTACGTTTTATTTGCACAGAAATCTTATTACGCTGACCTGTGCTTTGTTCATAGGTATGAATTTCAGCCCATCTCCCCACCGCCTGTATACGGTGACACCAGTCCCACCTCTTGCACGTCCTACTACAACACCTCCGCTGCTAAAGCTGAGCTTCTCAACAAGATGAAGGAAATGCCCGAAGTCCAGGAGAAAAGCGGGAACGTAGCTGGAGCAGAGGAGGAGGACACATTGACTTATAAGAAGGTGAGTCCTTCAAGAGCTCTAATTATAAGGAACAGTGTCTACACTGATTGTGATTTAAAGCTGAACTTCAGCCAAACACACAAGTGAAATAAATATAGGAGAACTTTTTTACCTGCATTTCTGTCCATCCAGTCCTGAGGTTTACACAGATCGGCTACGCAGCACTGTCTAGCAAGTCTTAAGACCTAATTTTTCTCTGCTGCAGATTAGTAACACGTATAGGTCTTGCTCCCCTCCCCCCTTCCTCGGAGAGGGAAAGGAGAAGCTCATCTTTGTCATTCTGCTCTCTCCCCCTATCGGCATACTGCTTGTATTGCAGGACAACGGATTGCCTCCCTTTGCTGCTTCTCCCCCTCTCTGAGCTCCTTTTGTACAGGGACTGCAAGAGGCTGATGCCAAGTCAACCTTTGATACTTGCACTGCTTGCATTTAAAGGGTTTTTTCGACTTTTCACAACAAATGAAAAAGTGGACTAACTTAGAACACCCTCCTTACCCCGGGGACCCCCGCCGCCTCAAGGGGTGGGAAGGTGCTGGCTGTGCAGGAGACAAGAGGATAGGGGGTATAGGTTGGGTGGTGGTCATGTTACCTCTGGCATCCCACCCACCTCCCTGACGTCACTGGTCGCCAGGAGCTGAATGGGATGCCAGCCAGAGTGTCCCGTTCAGCTCCTGGCAACCAGTGACATTGCTGGCAATTGCCACAAGCTGGCCAAACACTGGCCAGAGTGTCACAGGTTGGTAGGAGCTCTTAGCGACCTGGGGCACTCTGGGAGGAAAGGTGGTGGCAGGCATCCCCCCCATCACCGGTCCCCTCAACACTTCCATCACCTGCCACCCTCGCCAGTTGCTGTAACAATCCAGATACTTGAAATCTTCCCTTCAAAACCTCTCCAGGGCACTATGTGCATTATAAGCATGTGAGATGGGGACCTTGGATGGTAAGCTCCTTGAGGGCGGGGACTGGTGTGGATGTGCATTATGTGAACTGCTGTGTAAATTGGGCAGTCAAATGGTTATTTAGCAAGGCCTAGACTATACCAATAACCTATATATAGGGATACAAAGGAAGACCTTATAGAGCTGTGTTCCATCTGTACCTCCACTTACCTGCATAGTCTAGTACACCATATAATTCCTCATTGGGCCCCATATAAACGTAAGACAAGTTCTAGGTCCATAATCCCATCCTTGGTGTCAGGAAGTCTGCGTAGGTGTGGTTCCTTCAATTCACAGGGCTGAAGGCGAACATTGTTTTCAGAATATTCTAATTGACCTTGCTTTGGTTCTCTCACCAGATGCAGCTCATAGAAAGCATCAGCAAGAAGCTCTCCGTACTACACGAAGCTCAGCAAGGCCTTCAGGAGGACATCACTGCCAACGTGACTCTGGGCTGTGAGTTGGAGAGCCTGCTCAAGAGCCTTTGTAAACCCAATGAGTATGACAAGTTCCGCTCATTCATTGGAGACCTGGACAAGGTGGTCAACTTGCTGCTGTCCCTCTCTGGACGTCTCATCAGGGTGGAGAGTGCACTACATTGCATCGACCTGGAGCCCTCCATGGAAGAGAAGGTATCGTTATTGGAACTTAACTCAGCAAAACAGCATTCATCCCTTTTAATAGTAGATTATATATATACTCCATGTAGATAGCGTTCAAAACCTCCAAAGTCTTCAGATCCTCAAGTCTTCCTCTACTCCATGTATTATTATTATTATACAGGATTTATATAGCGCCAACAGTTTGCGCAGCGCTTTACAATATAGGGCAGACATTACAATCACAATACAATTCAAGACAAGATGGTAAGGAGGGCCCCGCCCCTGAGGGCTTACAATCTAAAAGGGAGGGGGAAGTGATACATGAGGAGGGAGCTGCGTGGGGATGAATGTTTGAGAATGTGATAGTCGAGCGGTTAGGTTGAGGTGGGATAGGTTTCCCTGAAGAGATGAGTCTTTAGGGATCGCCTAAAGGCAGTCAAGGTGGCGACAGACGGACAGGTTGGGGTAAAGATTTCCAGAGGATGGGAGAGACTCTAGAGAAGTCCTGGAGGCAAGCATGGGAGGAGTTGACAAGGGAGCTGGAGAGCAGGAGGTCTTGGGAAGATCAGAGCCGACGGTTAGGGTGATACTTTGAGACCAGGTTTGAGATATAGCCGGGGGCAGAGTTGTGGATGGCTTTGTAACTGATTTGTTAATATTTTGAATTTTATCCTTTGGGCGAGTGGAAGCCAGTGCAGGGATTGGCAGAGGGAGGTTGCAGACACTGAGCGATTGGTTAGGTGAATGAGTCTGGCAGCTGCATTCGTGATAGACTGAAGGGGGGAGGAGCCTGTGTAGAGGTCGGCCAATGAGGAGGGAGTTGCAATAGTCAAGACAAGATATAACACGGGAGTGGATGAGTCATTTTGCGGTTTCTTTGGTGAGGAAGGGGTATATTTTGGAGATGTTACGAAGGTGAAGGCGGCAGGATTTGGATAGTGATTGGATGTGGGGAAGAAAGGTGAGGTCCGAGTCAAGGATGACACCTAGGACCTTGGCATGAGGGGGAGGGCTGGATAGTTGTGTTAACGATCTCAAGGGAAAAGACGGGAGAAGGTGCGCGGGCAGGAGGAAATATCAAGAGCTGAGTTTTTGAGAGATTGAGTTTTAAGAAGTGTTGCGACATCCAGACGGATATGTCCGATAGTAGATTAGTGACACGAGAGGACACTGAGGGGGCGAGTTGTGGAGTGGAAAGATAGATTTGAGTGTCATGTAGATAGCGTTCAGATCCTCAAGTCTTCCTCTACTCCATGTAGATAGCGTTCAGATCCTCAAGTCTTCCTCTACTCCATGTAGATAGCGTTCAGATCCTCAAGTCTTCCTCTACTCCATGTAGATAGCGTTCAGATCCTCAAGGTTTCCCCTACTCCATGTAGATAGCGTTCAGATCCTCAAGTCTTCCTCTACTCCATGTAGTCTTTCTCTTCGTGAGCTATCACTGTTGTCTTTAGCACTGAGGTCCCTTTGGCACACCCAGTTGATTAGACATTCACAGCACCTTGGCCATGCTGAAATCTTGCAAAGGCCTTCCTGTGCTAACTTTAGCAGTAAACTCTGGCATGGATGGTCTTAAGTCTCTGCTTACTTCCCGAAAATCCCATGTGACCAGTGATGTCACAGGGTTGGCTCACTCCAACATGGCACCATAGATGCATGGCACTTGGAATCCAAAGTGAGGCTTGGATCGCATTGATCTGCACAGGTGTGAAAAGTATTGATGGCATGTGCTCAGGGTGGAAGCTGCGTTATGGAAAGTACACAACGGAAAGCTTCCAAGATGGCGCCAGTTTCCAGGATGGCTGGGGAGAAAAGGCCTACAACAAAATATATTCTGTCCTGTATATTCCTATTTTCTTTCCCTTTATTATCTCTACTAAGACATCAGACGTGAGGATAGGTCTTATAGACAAGGACCTAGGGTGGAAGGTGTGTAGCAAAGTCACTTCATGTGTGTATCCAACACCCAACTTTAGTGGCTTCATTGTCACTTTCTTGCAGCGCTAAACCGGCCTAAGAACCTTCAGTATCCGACTTTGTCGGCTGTGCCATATGCCCCTATCCCCCTCTGAGTGGCTTGGTTCCTCCTGCCAGTTCCTACATCACTACGTCATCCTTGCAGAGTTGTAGTGATGTCCAAGGTGGAACCGTAGCCCACAGCGGTGGACAAGGCATCCAACATAGCTGGAAGTATCAAATGCTGAAGATTCCTTGGTTGGTGTAGCTTTGCAAGAGTGCTAAGGTCAGAATCACCGGCCACTTATTTAAAGAGTAGATGATTACATAGTAAATATCTAGTTATGCCGCCAGTTCGTAGAACTTCCTTCAGAAGGCCAATGCTATGTCAGCCGATCCACTTGTGTCACCATTACCGCTGTGCTGGACATGCTCCGGTTTCCTTGTTGGGAAGTTGTCCACTTCCTCTTGGCTCCCCAGCTAGCCACCCCACCGGGCACTCCAGCACGTTTTGCGGTATGACTCCATAATTCTGATTGACAGCGGAGCATTTTCCCCTGAAACCTGGCCTAGCTGACACTCATGAGCGTGCATTCCTGAACATGCACTCCACTTGTAACTCTAGTGGTGGTCTACTTTTTTTGTAGCCAAGTGACCACCAGAGCAGCAAGCATACCGCACCTTTGTGCTCTGCTGGCAGCCAGTATTATGGAGTCGCCCTGCAAGATGTGCAGTAGTGTCATATGGGGTGGCTAGCAGGGGAGCCCTATGTGGCCACAGGCAAAGGATGCAAGCACAATGCAATGGGCACATCACACTATGGAAAATATCTCCACGCACATATTGCACAGTGAGTTGCAAAGGCTATTGATCACATGACCGATGTTCTAGTAATTCCAAAGTTGAGATTTATGGACCATCATTGTAACTAGGGATGCACCGATGGCGGTTTCTCGGTATTGAGTACGAGTACCGATATTTATATTTTGGTATTCGATGATACCAAATACCAATATTGGTACTTCCGGTAGGATGGAACAGGCTTCCTAAGCAATCAGGAAGCCGAGCAGCGTGTCTTTATCCGGTGCTTGGCTTCTTGATTGCCCAGGAAGCCAGCTCCATGCTGTTTTTCTGGCTCGATGCTGAATAGCTAGGAAGCTGCCTTCCGAGCCAATCATTGAGGTGGCAGTTTGGCCAGCTTGATGCTGATTGGCCAGGAAGCCAGCTTTCCAGCCGATCAGCATGGATCCAGCTTCCTCGTGAGTCATTACCCGCGGCCCGGCTTCCCGATTGTCCGGGAAGCCGGCTCCATGTTCCCTCGTGGCACTGCCGGTCAGAGGAGATGTCCCTGGAACTTCCAGTATCGGGATAAGTATTGGGAGCATTTGGGCGAGTACGAGTACTTGCCCAAATACTCGGTATTGGTTACCGATACTAGTATCGGTGCATCCCTAATTGTAACCATCATGGACCATCAAGTTTAAGCATGAACAAATGTGATACAATGTTCTTTAAATACATAACTCAGAGTTGTGTTTGTTATTTCCGACCCATCCATGGTCTTGGTATTGCCTGTCTTATGGCCCTTCCATGAACACCCTCGGCCTTGGTATTGCCTGTCTTATGACCGATCAATGAACACCCTTGGTCTTGGTATTGCCTGTCTTATGGCCCTTCCATGAACACCCTCGGTCTTGGTATTGCCTGTCTTATGACCCATCAATGAACACCCTCGGTCTTGGGATTGCCTGGCTTATGACCCATCCATGAACACCCTCGGTCTTGGTATTGCCTCTCTTATGACCCATCCATGAACACCCTCGGTCTTGGTATTGCCTGTCTTATGACCCATCAATGAACACCCTCGGTCTTGGTATTGCCTCTCTTATGACCCATCCATGAACACCCTCGGTCTTGGTATTGCCTGTCTTATGACCCATCATTTTACTCTCTTTTTTTCAGCTGAACCTACTGGAGAAGAAGAAGCAGCTGACCGACCAACTGGAAGACGCTCAGGAACTGAAGGCCCACGTCACACGCCGGGAGCAGTTGGTCCTCCAAGCCGTGTCCAAGTACCTGAACGAAGATCAGCTCCAGGATTACCAACACTACGTGAAGATGACCTCCGCTCTCATCGTGGAACAAAGAGAGCTGGAGGATAAAATCAGACTGGGAGAAGAACAATTGAGATGTCTCCGGGAAAGTCTCTAATCTCTTTAACCAAAGAAAATTTGCAAATGTGGTAAATTATAAACTTGTGTCTTCTGCTTATGTCAAAGAGATCGCCATTTTTCAGCCATTACCGTTACAAACACGTGTCCTTGGTAGGACCAAAAACCAGAAGCCAAGACCTCTAGTGCCTCAAGATGTTCCTTCCAACTGGAATTGGGTTCACCGTATCCTACGACTCAACTTTTACCAACCGTGTGACTGAAGTAGGGATACTTTGTGAGCTTCTCGTGCCAAAGATAATTTTCACAACTGGAATCTTCTCATCAAAACCGGCATCTCAAGTTATGTTCCTCGAACAGGCTATTGTTCTGATAATCATACTCCGCGGGGATGGACTGGCATTATCTGTTGTTTTTTTTTCTTTCTTGGACTGGAATTTCCTAGACGTTACTTCTAATGCTATAGAAGCCTGATGATCCTGGTTCCCTTTCCTAGTGCCGCGCTCATCAGCAAAGTCTTGGTTGCAACGTCGACCTCTCTCGTGAATGCAGCGACGCCTGTATGTCCTGAGCAGAATATGGGCATTATTCAGGATGTAGCCATCATCTCTTATTGGGTTGTAGGGAACAAAATCATTTAAAGTGGTTCTAATAAGACCTTTCCTTCATTTCTTCAACACAAATAACTGAGAGGGCCTCAGATTGAAGCACCACAAATGTATTCCAATGTCAGATCAAAGACAGCCGATCTGTTTTAGGGGCCTGAAATCGCTCCCCCAACCTGCTGCTCCAGCCAACTGTTACAAATCTGTGCTCCAACAAGTGGCCCAAGGACCACATATATTGCATTCTCCATCCAGTCAAGTTTTCAAACATGGTTGCTCATGCCGTACTCCTGATGAAGGGGGCAGTTTTGGCCCCCGAAACATGTTGGCTCTTTTTTGCATTGGAATAAATGGTAATCTGTTCAAACCCCACTGCAACACGATTGGATAGAAATATCCATAGGACAAGCCTAGGACA